TCGACAATAATGATGTGGATCGATGCGCTAGCCCTAGTCAAGAACAAAGAAGTGTGAATGAACAAGAAACTCTTCTTGAAAAGCCGCTATAAGGGGAGTAAAACAGCTTCAAAGTGGGCTGTTATCAGATCGTCAAGCGGCGATCGACAGCGATGTCAAACACGCCCACTTAGAGAAGTGTTCAGTCCTTTTCAGCGGCTTTTAAAGCGAGAAGATTGTGTTTTGCCAGTCCAGATTCTATGTTTAACTAGTTCTAGCGCATACGTTCCACCATTAGTGTCGAAGGTGAAAACCCTGCTGGGTCAGCGAATGTACAAATCAGTATTCTTTATCCTTCCAGACCAGCCTGCTGCCAATTATGCAACCTCGGTAGGATGAAAGGCTTGGTTGGCGAAGACGGCGCCCGGTCCAGGGATCAAATCCTCGATTGTGCGCTGTTCACGCCAACAACCTGCAATCCACAGGCTTTGGTTCCTTGGTGGCACACATGGCTGGATGAAAATTATACATTGGCTGGCCTTTAACGCCGCTTGCCACTTACCATTTCCACCTGAAATGTGGGCAGAAAGAGAGCGAGTAGTGTACAAAGGTGTTAATACCATATGTGTAAGTTGAGCACATATGCGCTTTGGTTCCCTTTAATATTTAAAAACCGTAGGGGAATACTTTTTCGAAAAAATACTCTTCAACATCTATGGGTAACCCTCAAAGGGTTTACCTCCTTTGACCGCTGCTGATCGCACCGCTTTGACCATGAACAATTCCCTATAAATTAGCGTGGCGATGTCCTTGTACGCTAATCGTCCAGTACAATTGTGCACTTCATTACAATGTCTGCGTGTCTCGGTTTGCCACCCTCCTATCCAAACTACCACGTTGTTTCGCGCTTTTGTTTGATTACGTTGTTGTCGAGTGGGTCGTCTTGTCGTAGAGCACCGCCGCCGCCGTTTTCCAGGGAGGTCTCAACGATTATTTTCCTCCAATTCATCTGCCTATTGACTGATACCAACTCTGTGCTCTATTGGTTGTGTTTTCCGAGAATTGGACTCATCGCCTGTTGTCAAGCGATTCTTGTCAGTTTTCCCGGATCAATAGTTATATGCGCATTGAGACTTAACATATGAATTGCACATTCTCTATCACATTATTTGTATAAATTATGGTGAAACACTAGTTTGTTCAGTGGCGTTCCTCGTTGTCAGATATTTGCAACATTTAGGCTATCTTCTAGTTACAGAGAAAGGATTTTCGTTTTTGAGCAGAATGTAGGCGGAGAAGGATGGGTGCTAAATAACTTGAAGTGGAGAAGGGCTGTTGCGTCAGAATGCCGCCGAATACTCGCCCTATTCGTGAGTGGGAGTCAAGGAGAGGATTTATGGGATCCATCTAAGCCCCTACTTCATTGACTAGTACCAAACCTATCCCTCAGTAGGCCTATCTCAGTCGGGCAGGAGCTAGTCTAGACATCGGCTTTTGCATGTCGGTCAAGTATGCTTTTGAATGCCTTCACAAATTCCCATGGATGCCGCATGCATGTCGCTTCCGGGAAAGTTATTGACGCTAACGCAGGATACGGAGGGCGTCCTTATGAAAAGCAGGAACCTCGGGAAAAATGAAGATTGCTCACGCATTCTGGAGTCTCTCCTCCTTCCTTCGAGCCTCAGTCCCATTTTTAACAAAAGGTGATGTTTGCATAGGTTTATATCCACCGCCGCTACAATGCCCCCGTGTCCTTCGATAGCTCCAGTTTGTTTCTTACTCGTTGTGGAGTTCCTCATGGGTTTCTCAAGTGTAAAACTCACTATCAACTTCAGAAAAACAGCACGGTACCCTTCTACACAGTCAGAGAATTCAGCCTTCTGTAGTTCTATCCGTAGTAGAGCTGAATGATGAGTTGGGAGGGTGGGTGTTGCGAAATTGTGATGCGGAAGAGGCTGGTACCAAAATGGGATCACATGCGGTCGATCTCTTGCCGACTGTTTGCGTTACTTCTTTCACAGAGCTGATTCAGCCCATTTCTGTGAAGAATTCCACGAATTTCTTTGCATCCTTATCAGGAACTCCACGTCATTTCTCGATTTTTCTGCAACTCTCAGCTGATCTGACGCGATTGCTCTCAAAAGGATTGCTCTCAATAGGAAAACAACAGCCTTCGAAGCTTTACAGGACTTCTTTTCTAAGGTATATATAAGGTTCTTCAAAAGCAAAGTATAAGTATAAGTTTATTACTTCTGCAAAAGGTACACGTGAAAAATAACAATTAAAGTATCTCTATGCATACAGAGAAGGGTGTCTTATAAAAAACAAGGTCCAATACAAAAATAGTTAACTTTGGCGAATGTAAAGATGTGATGAGTTTGGCATGGTTTCAATACGTCAGCGATGCTGAGATGAATGAGTGCTTATCTGTTTACCGACAGGTCCGCTGGTGGGTCCCTAGACGCTGTCAGGGATGTGTAAATCTTGGCTAAGCCGTCCCTATCCATGCATCGGAACAGATGGCGTGAATATGCAATCAGTCCTCGAACACTTTGTCTTCCCTCGTACCCATTCTGTTCAGTTCCATATTTGGAAACTCCGATAGATCTCTTCTTTGTTACCATTTTTCAGTGGGGATTTCAAGTTGTTCCTAGCTTAATGCCTTTTGAATAGTTCTTCGTTAATAATCTCATTGTCTGTTATATTTTCTGTTAGATTTGGTTCTTTCAATTTTGCTGATTCTATGAAAACGCCTTGATAATTTGTGAAATTTCCTGATAAGTTTTTTTTTCTCTGGAGAAGACATTCTTGAGAAGTGCAGGACGTCCACTCAGAATGGTGGAGCGATAAAAGGATAAAGCATTTGAGCGATCCGCCATGGTATGCTACTCGAGTAAGCATGGTGATGAAATTTGAATGCGTTTGGGTACTGTAGCAGCTGCCACTGATGTTGCGGTCTTCTGAGGAGGCTGTGCCAAGTTGCGTCCCAGTAATAACGTCAATGCTGTTAGGCTTGGGCGAATTCACCGAGGTTCGCGGCAGGGGGTCACGTGCGTTGAGAAGTTTTTTGGCCTACGCGTCCCTGTCTTTCCGAATCATTCCTGTTGGGAATTTCAATGAACATATTTGCTTTTTGATGACCAGTTTTTTTTCTCTTATTTCTTTGTTTCACTTGGTCCCCCCGAGTTACGAATTTTATAGCTTGTGAGCTGGGCATAAGCACACATTCCTTGTGGGCACTGCCTTTGGGAACTCCACGACGAATGCGCGCGTTTTTTTTTGTGTTTTTTTGCGTGCGAGGGACAGACGCAATTTGGCGAGCGTGACCGAAGAAAAAATAGAAAAGCTAAGGTAAATACATCGCTATTCACCAATTCTGGTACCACATTGTTCATATTTGTATACAAATGTGGTTCAAACAATAAACTAACTGGCTCTGGTGAAGTCCCCATGCAGGCAGGAATAAAATGAGGGGCAGGGTGTGGTACCACAGGGTACCATGCCGTCTCAGTTACCGGCAAGCCGTGGTACCCTGCGGTACCAATGGTATAGTGCTAATTCACGTGCAGTAGGAACGTAAATAAATGATTCGGGTTCGGGATTGCTTCGGGTTCGGGATTCAGGATTGCTTATTCACTAGCTGTTCTGGCATTGTAGAGCTTTTTGGACCGTAATAGCCCGCTAACTCTGGAGTTTTGCTGTTTTCTGCTTTTTTCTTTGGATGAGCACACGATGAGCTGGCTCGCGTTCTGCAGCAGTGCTACTCTCTATCACCATGTTTCTGTCTTTCTAGAGACTTATTACTTCAAATCTTGCTATTAATCCAACCCATGGTTGGATCCTAAGATTTTTTTTTGCTCGTTCATGCTTTCGTTTTTCGGCTTGGCTTACTCTTCTCTCTCTCTCTTTCTCTATTACTTCTACTCTTATTACTCTTGTTGCTACAGTCTTGTTGTTGACGCGCCTCTATTGCAATACATAAATGAATAAATAGAATGCTGCGAAAAGGGCGGTGGTGGCGGAAGTAAGCAAACCAGCCCTTTTGGCGTTTCTGCTGGGGCCGTATGCTGAATGTTGGGGGGGATGGGGTCCCCGACGGTCGACGGACTACTTCAACTCGGTCCTTAAAACCGCCACAATTTGATGCTTACCTCAGAACTAAGCCTTAAAGAGACGGGTCCGTCCCTCTCCAAGGCTTAGTCCTGGGTGAGCAAACCAGCCCTTTTGGCGGAGCTGCTGGACCAGCTGCACCACTTCGTCAGTACTCTCCTACCGTACCGACCGAGTTGAAGTAGTCCGTCGACCTCGGGGACCCCATCCCCTCCCCAACATTCAGCATACGGCCCCAGCAAAAAGGCTGGTTTGCTCACCTCGTGGTGGGGTAGCGGCAAGTGACGCTGCTTTTTCAAAGAGCCGCAGGTCATTTCTTGACAGCTGAAATGACGCCAGCCTACAGTATTGTCTATCTAAATCTCCACGTCCTCACGTGGGTAAATGACGTGTGAATTACGTGATGGGAACAAAAGCTATTCGACTGTTTGTTTTCCATGACGATTACTACTGTGTAAACTTTCAAATTGAAATCATTGAATTTATAAAAAGGTAAAAAATATAAAGCATTTGCCGTTGATCAATCCCTTTTTGGGATGCGGCACGCATTCTACTTCCATTTGTACATTCGCAGTGGCGTTTGAATGCGATGTGGCCTATACAATGACTTGCGGGGGCCAGCCGATGTACAAGTCAGTGTTTCCTCCCAGACAAGTCTGGTACCAATTAACCGACCCCGGAGGGATGGAAGGCTTGGTTGGCCCGGGCGACTCACGACCCAGGATTTGATCCCGAACCGCTCCGTCGTTTTTAAGCGTGCCCACTCTGCCACTAATACCCTTCTGCCCATCATTAAATCGGCAGTTTTATTTATACTCATGTTTTCGATTTTTCTTCCATTTTGAATGGTTCCAATCGTATTTTTCTTTTGCTTCCAGCTATTTCCACTTAAACCGTTTATTAAGTCTCTCATGTTCACCCTTCGCTCGTTAATGATTCTTCAGAAGAACATCGATAGCTTCGAAATGTGTCCCATTATAGGTGCCACGGTGATGGTGGACTACTACGCTGCTCAACCGGCGTTCCACCAACATCAGACGTCCGGATACGATTATACACAGCAAGAAGAAGAATGGGATCGTGAAGGCCTTCTGGATCCAGCATGGGAAAAACAGCAGAAAAAGGTATGCGTGTATAAAACTCTCAAGGCCCCTAGGGACAAATCGCTCGTTCTTTGAACCTGTGAACCAATGGTCTTCTTTCCAACCAAACCCTACCACTGTTGTTCTAATTTGTGATTCTTTTCTTTCAAAATGGATTGGATCGATTTTTGCTAGTCGTGATAATATTGGTCTTTTTATTGTTTGCACTTCCAGACATTTACTGCCTGGTGTAAATTCAGCATTTGAAGAAAAAGCTGGTAGCAAGCAATTGGGCTCATCGAGGAGGACTTCAGAAATGGTTAGTTTAACACTTACTGAACATTGCTGACCAAATTTTCACATACGCGCTTACGAAAGGAAAATAGGACAATCAATATTTCGTATATAATATTAAGAGCTATGCTAGAATAAAGATAAATAGGGTAAAAGTATTTGACGTTGATACAATCCCGTTTTCGGATGGGCGGGCACGCAGCTCTGCTTCCATTGCGCATCGAAGTGTGTTTGAGTGCGATGGTTTGGCCCGGTCTCTATTGGCAGTGTTTTTCCTAGTACCTCACCCAACTTACGGTCCCTCAATGCACTTCTTGCTTCTTTCGAACATAAGTAACACAAGCGAAACTCGTTCGCTGACCCATCCTAAAAGGATTTTTTTTTCAATAGATTTCAAACAGGATTTAGAAGTTTTCCATTTTCCCAAGAGTTGAGCACACTTTTAATGGATTTTTCGAATCAAATGACAGAAGGAACGCAGGCAAACTGACTAGTGGGGATTTTCGCAAAATCATGCTTGAAACGCTGCTCCAGAAACCGGTCCCAATGATAGGTTTGATGCCTACACAATGCCATGATTCCAAGGAAAAACTGTGGCATTTCGCGACTATGCCGCAGAGATGATGCCGTGTGGTTATAGGTTACACCACAAAATTCAGGGAACACATTGCAAAATATATTTCCATTGATGTGATTTTAAACGCGATTTTACCGTTCGCACTTCTTCGTGTAGCCCCCGACCTGACGTACCCCGTAATGTGGTAGGGGTTAACAGTAAGGTGCACTGTGAGTAAAAACTCACAAACTTCGTGGTATTCGTAAACACGTGGAGAGGGTACTATTCGGTTTGAAGGAAGTACCACGCCCACAAGGTAGTTTTGCGTAGGCACTTTTCCACTTGTCTGTTCTTGTAGATTGTGTTGCAAGGAAGCCTACGTCAATAGTCCTTATATTTTCTCCGAATTACTTGACTTTGTGAGGTAAATAATTGTATGTAAAAGGAGAAAATAGCATCTATTAAGGTCTGAAACTCATGCTCTTGCTGGAAGTGATCTCTGGCGAGCCACTTCCTCGTCCGGATCGTGGAAAGATGCGCTTCCACAAGATTGCCAACGTCAACAAAGCTCTGGAGTATATCGAGAGCAAAGGCGTCAAACTAGTGTCAATTGGAGCGGAAGGTGTGTTTAGGCTTTGTAGTGAAAAATGGACAATATTCGCTTTTCTGGTGAGTTTCCATTGGTAGCCGGTAGTCGTGACGTTTGTATGCCCCTTTTGAAATTGTGGCACGAATGTTAGTCGCTGCAGGATATTTTGGACAGAATCTGGATGCGAGGATAAGAGTCATTGCTTTCTAGGCTCCATTTCTTAGGGATAGAGTGGGCAGCGTTCGTGAGTCGAGGATGGGGGATGAGCCATGAATTCGAAATCTTTCCAGAGTTGCGAAGCTCATGTACATCGCTCACACTAATAGTTACCTACGATAGGTCTTTTGTCCAGCTCTTTCATTTTCCATCCTAAGGGAGATTTTAATTCTGTGATGGCGAGAACCTACGAAGTGTCTTATCTTGTCGTATTTGAACTGGATCACCCTTTGTGTGTGAATAGCGAGCGAAGCATAACGGGACCACCTAAGGGCGTGAAGAAGCCGCCTATGTAGGCTATCTAGGAAAGCCTAATAGTTATCCATTCAGCTGCTGAAATCACAAATTCACAAAAAGATTTAACCTGTGAAATTGCATCCAGGATCGTTCGACGGCAATGTAAAGCTGAACATTGGGTCTTAATCTGGACTATCCACTTCTTCGGCGTATCCGAGCCTATTTCACGAGGACATCAATGTCGAAGGTTTCGAGCTTTCCACTCAATTCATGGATAAGAATTCCTCTTTCATTTGAATTCCTTCTATTCTGGCAATCAGAATTCGCGATTGTTTCCAGAACTGTCCGCCCGTATCAGAATTAGCGATTTTTTCCAGAACTGTCCGCCCGTGACGGACTTCTTCTATGGTGTCAACGTAAGACGGCACCGTATAACAATGTGAATGTGCAAAACTTCCATACATCATGGAAGGACGGTCTTGCTTTCTGTGCTCTTATTCACAGGCACAGGTGAGCAATATATTTCTGCCAGTTAAGAGGAGAGTAGTCAATCTGTGGTTGTGCCAGTTAGGCAGTTCAACAGAGTCAGGGGCCGAACCATTGGGTTGGAGGGATGGAAAAGAGTATTGAAAAAATAGTCTGGTCGGATGAAAATAGCTTTGCAATTCCTCTTTTCCCATACCATCTCAGTCAACGATTCCCTAAAACGAAGTTCATCATGAGAGTGACCTAGAAAAGTATTATCAGGATCCAATACCAACTTCACCTCCCCTCCGAAAGGTCAACCACCCACCTGGGCGAGTGAGAGCGAGGGAATATGCAATTGGTGGTTTAGGGTAGAGGTGTTTCGGTGAAACAGAGTCAGATGAAAGGTTGTAGAAGGTTGGAAGAAAAGTTCTGAACACCCCTCATAACACAATTTTTGAACTTATTTTTTATTCTTTATCGTTTTTAACACCAAGTGGTCATCCAATGACTAGCAGCCACCATGAGCTTGTTGAGTGTCTTTGAATTAATAGTGATCAAAAATGAATTTCAATATTGGGCTGTCGGGTGTGTCAGAGCTTTTCTTCCAACCCAATATCTTTGGAAGATGTGAGAAGGGGAGAATTCTTGTTCTAGGATGTTTGAAAAGCTTTTTTTTTCGTGAAATTAGATGCACTTTGGATTTTAGGGAATAGGGTTGGCTGAACCTGTTTTAGCGACACCACGGCAATATTGAGGGAAAATGCCTCTAAAAAGTATTTCAGAGTAACGTTGTGTAAAATAAACAATATGTACATGTTTTAGACCGGAACTGATCGATTACTATCAACTTCACAAGGGCGATCCAATTCACAACCTCAACTTGGCCTTCGATGTGGCTGAAAAACATCTGGACATTCCAAGAATGTTGGATGCAGAAGGTACAGGCTTTGAGTTGTATTGGTGCTAAAGTAGCCGTTATTATTGGAAGGTCTGGAGGGCGACAGCTTTAGCATACGTAAAATGTGAGCGTTTGAAGCCCCTTTCACAGTAGCATTTAATACACTCTTCTAACAGACGGATTCTTACTTGTCCATTTTACACTCTAAATTTGTAGGCATGTGTCATTGAAGTTTTAACCCTTTGACGACCGTGTGGCCCGCCGGTGGGCCACACTTTCGCTCGGTGGCGACACGTTTTTAGGGGTTTATTTTGGCATTTTTTATGTTTCAAAACTACACAAATACATCATCGAATTCGCGGAATAATGCGCTAATTACTAATAGTGAAATTGTTGGAGAGTTAATGATTATTGATGAAAAAATTTAGAAAGAAGTGAAGTGACGCATTCATAACGGCGGTCGTCAAAGGGTTAATAAGAGTGCTTTAGGTAGTATTTTTACTGTAAAAACCGTTTTTCATCCCTTACTCACACGAAAAGCTTGTTCTCCTGCAATCAAAATTTCCAACTTTGCAAAATTTCTAAATTTATTAATGAGAAGTTTTACCGAGGTCACCGCGTCATTAGGTCCTAATAGATCATTTAAGAGATATTCGGACGCTCTTGTTGTTTGGGGGGGGGGCATTCAAGTGATTGGGTCACTCGCAGCACTTGGAAGTAAGCCTCAGGAAGGTGAAGGGTCCCCGGAAAAGGATATTTGTGTTCTCCTAAGCGTTTCTCCCCTCTCCCGTTTCTAGACCTAGTGTCACCTACCATCGGTTCTGTTTCAAATGTACCCCCTCCCCCTCCCCGGGGCATGAGCGCCGACATTTATGTGTAAAAAATTCACATCTAGAAGGCTGCATTGGTGCCTTGTACCTTTTCAAGCGTTATTGCGTATCAAGAATTGTTATCGATCACACGCGCGCAAAATCAATACCCATTCTTAATTGTATATGCTAAGCCAATTTGAATTTCAATGAGCAGTCGCACAAAATGGTTTCGCATTATTAAGTTCAAGAATGCCCTCTTGGAACCAAATTAAGAAGCATGGCGTGACATGAGGCACGTCTAAAGATGGAGGAGGGAGGGGAGGGGGTGAATGAACACTTCTCACTTTGAAGCTATAGACGCTCTTCTACTGAGTTTTCGGCCGTGCTTCATCTCCGTCTTCACCCCCCCCCCCCCTCGTCGCTCTTGGAATTTCCGTTTTAAAATTGATTGAGGACATGTATACACCACCATTACTTGCAATTTTCAATAGATATTTTTGATCATAAACTGATTCTTTCGAACTTATTCATGCCAAAAGACCAGGTGAATTTGTACTGGTTTCTCGCGTCGTTCTGAAAACGCCTACTTATCAGACGCCGCCCACAATCCGGACGAGAAGTCGATCATGACGTACGTGTCATGCTTTTACCATGCGTTCCGTAACGCACCAGAAGTCCGTTCGATGCCGCCACCAGTTCGTGCGCAGATTGTGCCACCGGAACGCGATTGGCGTAAAGAAGTAAGCGCCCGTGGTGGGCAGTGCAGTGGCGTGTGAAATGAGTGCCGAAAACCTGTGGTCTACCTATGTTTGTTTGGATGCGTTATTATTAATCTAAACAGAGTGACACACTAACTCGTCCACTTTATCGATTTTTGTTTCAAAGAGATTGGTTTTTGTTGGCTCTTCGACCTGCGATAGGCATTCAACGGAGTTTCGAAAGCGTCTGTGTTGTTTGAGGTGATGCTTTCAGACATGGTAAACTCACATCCGGACGAGAAAGCCGTCATGACGTACGTCTCGTGCTACTATCACTATTTCAGCGGAATGCGGAAGGTCTGTGAGAGCGGGGATCGTTTTTTCGTTATTTCTCAGTTTTTGCTGCGCCTAGTGTTCATAACTCAAGCTTCTTAATGAAAGTGCAGTTTTTGTGCCGTTGAGTGATGGTGTGAAATGAGCTGGACAGCAGTTGTCGACCATTCTATTTTTGAAAGTTATTGAGCACAGGATCCTTATAGGCTCATAATGTTCAGATGCCTAAACTCAAAAGAAAACATACTCCGGCTTCAAGAATGGTCCTTAGGCTTTCAAGGGTAGGATTTATCAGATGTGGTAATCTAAATTAAATGTGAAAGTAAGGGATGGGAGTGGACAGAAAGCAGTGAAAAAAGGAACCATTTAGGATCATAAATAACATACCATGCGTTCGGTCGGAGAATCTGTTCCAAGAGGCAGGCGCTGATATAGATGTGAGCCCCGGAGAGGCTAAAGAGTCCAAGTAGGGAGAAGCATAGGTAGGTAAGCATTGTGACACAGATAAGTTCTCAACCGGTGGGCGGGTCCTAATTCGCTTTGGTGGGTTTGATCAAAATCCTTAGCGCTTTGCTTCTACAAGGAGGTCTTTCAGGGCAAGGTGCGCTTTTTCAAAACGGTTTTGTGCATATTGTAGGGACGCATGTAGGGAACGCAAAACCATGTTTCATTTTCGCTGAACGGTTATAGCAGTACCAAAAAAGAAGCATAAGGTACTGTTAAGGGTTCGATCCCCCGTGGCGACTAAATTTTGCATTTGGGTTGGCGCCTACGGTTTGGTGCCAAATCGCGCTAAATATCAAAATCAGATGTCAAATTCATCGTCAGGACCATTTTGAAGCCAACAAGTGGCCGCCAACCTTGATTGCAAAATTTAGTCGCCGCGGGGGATTGAACCATCAAGAGTATTATTCACCACTTTTTTGGTACTACTAAAACCGTTCAGCGAAAACGAAACATGGTTTTGTGGTCCATACAACATGTACTAAACCGTTTCCAAAAGCGCACCTTGCCCTGAAAGACCTCCCTTGTAAGTTTCTGATGTGTAAAGGTGGCGCGATTTGCAGTGGCCAGAGCAGGCACATTCCATCTACGGAAAGGCTACTTCGGTGAGCCTGAGCCCTTCCTTGATTTCAATATTTGGCAAGTATTGCTAGATGTCGATAGTTAAGGGTAAAAAGATGAAAAATCGGCGTGATCGGCCCTTTTTGGGATGTGGCACGCACGGCGTTCTGCTTTTGCTCAGAATGGTAGTACTTCTATATGACCTCCAATTTTGTTGGCCTTCTTCCCGACTCTATCTCAGGAAAAATGTGATTCCTTTTAGGTTAAGGAGAGGGGGCAAAACTATATGACAAGTGGATGGAGCGACGCCAACACTCTCATAGTGCTGCAGGACCCAATAATTCGTTCAGACGTTGTTTTAGGTTCTAAGGCATCCGTAAAAGCTTATCCGTTCATACATCCGCCAGAATAGGCCATATTCCTGCGCAGCTGCGGGTTAGAGGGAATCTCCTTCCATCAATTGCACAGGAAAGTTGGCGGAAAAAACGAACTTGAGAGTTTCTAAAGTCATTAACTCAGTCATAGCTTGAAGTATGTAGCCTAAGGATCCTGTGCTCAATCGACTTAAATTCCTGGAAACCGTTGAGTCGATTATCAATTTAGGCAGAAACGGCGGCGAATAGGATCTGCCGGGTGCTGAAAGTTAACCAAGAAAACGAAAAGATGATGCAAGAGTACGAACATCTCGCCAGTGACGTAAGTAACTGTCCTTAGTTTTTTTCTGATATTCAAAACTCGATCGAAATCGGCGGTTCAGCTGCTTGCTTGGATAAATCACTGGATGCCGTGGTTGGCGAATCGAAAAACTTTTCTACTTGGAACGACATTTTGGGGTCGGAAGGCAAGAAAAAAAAAACTCGGGACGGACTATCGGTTTAATGGACGGGGGGTTGAGTGTTGAAATATAACCATTTGCGCGATGGTGCCGCGCATGGCACGGGGCCGCATCCAAAAATAATGACGGTATGTTGTAGGCATGAGAAGCCTCCACGAATTGAGGATAAGGGCCGGCTGGAGAACGTATGTTCAACACACTTCAAACTCGTCTTCGGCTTTCGAATCGACCAGCGTTCCTTCCCAGAGACGGACATCTTGTCAAGGTTGGTTGGCATTTTTCAACTCATTTCCAGGCCAAATGTTTCATATTTGAGGACATTAACAATGCATGGAAAAATCTCGAAGATTCGGAGAAGGGCTTCGAAGAGTGGCTCCTCAGCGAAATCATGCGGTGAGTCTTCAAAAGTTTGGATTGTGTAAATCATGATGCTGGGAGGGTAACGGACCCCAACAAGCGGGACAAACGCTAAAGAAGATGAGGATCATGCTGGGAGGGTAGTGAAGAGTGATACGGAAACCTCCAGTTTGCTGGTAATCCGTCCCAACTATAAGTTCTTTTAAAATCTCCTAGATTCCTTGATTGCTGGTAAACTTGCGCGGTATAAGAAACACCGGGACTTTTGGCAGACCTTACAAGGGTTCTACTGAAGGTGATTCATTGCGGACCACCGTGACGCATGTGGCTCGGCGTCTTTCAGGCCGCTTTCTCATCAATAATTGATGATCTTCCCTTTTTTCCAATAAACGCTTGTAAATGTGTAGTTCTTCGGATCTGACAGGTACTACATCTCTGGAATGTAAAAGGTCGCATGATCAAAAACGACCCTCGTCCGTGGGGTGGCGTGGTGCCTCTGTGCATCACGCAATCCGCAGTGTGCTAAAGGCACCGGGCACCATCAGGTGAAATGGTGGACGCGGCTTCCGACGACTAAGAGAAAATCTCCACGAAATAAGCGTAGCAAAGTCAAGGATTTGCCGTTTTATTGGGACCTATCTACCTGCCCCTCCAACTCCACTCGATGGCCGTTTCGGAAAGAAAAGTGGGCGGAGTTGGGTCCCGTAGACTTGTCCCGGAATCAAATACTGTAGAGTTGCCATGATGGGGGGGTTGGGGGGGGGGGGGGAGTGCTAGGACTCCATGTCGTAGTGCTCCCCTCGGAATGTGTTTCGGTAGGGGTTCGTTAAATAAGTTTTTTGAAAAAAATGCGAACCTGACGGCTCACACCTTGTGGGGCCTTCGCTGCTCGTCAGTCACTGTATGGAGGCTTCTCGTTCGTTGACGGCAGTCGTACTCGAAACTGAGCGAATACTCGCCGCGTGGAACGATGGGGATCCTATGTCGGTGTGGCACCGGGCGTCAAAGCAGCGGTCAACCGAAAGTCTTGGTGATTCAGCGTTTTGTAGTGTTCTCTGGGCACTCTCGCATATGCACACTATTACAGCGTCTCTGCTTTCTTTCCTTCCTTCAAAAGGCTTAGTCCTAGAAGAGCAGAAAGTATGTGCTTTTCTGTCTGGACTCTCACGCGTTGGTTGACCACTGCCCCGTAACCGTGGCACCGTAATATCAATTTCTGCAATTGCACAATTAATTTCTCTCTTTCTTTATCTTTGTGTCGTGGTACGTACATATTTGTCAACAAACAAATAACAAAAATGTTAGGGTAGAAAAAAGTCCTCTGAGACAGTGAGAACGGTTTTCGAGTTCCATTTTTGTGACGGAGGAGAAAAGTGCTCGATTGTCAGCGTGGTGAACCTCTTTGTTTTTTAGTTTGGAACGACTCGAACATCTGGCGGAAAAGTTCCGTCGTAAATGTGCTTTGCATGAAGAATGGTCGCATGGCAAAGAAGAAGCGCTTCGTAGTCAAGACTGGAAGAGCTGTGGATTGTACAAGATCAAGGTAGATTTTCAAGTGACAATGGAATGTTCCAAAAGTGCGAGACTCCTTTTAAAGGTTACGGTATTTAGGCTCTCCGTAAACGCCACGAAGCTTTCGAGAGCGACCTTGGTGCTCATCAGGATCGCGTTGAACAGAATCGCTCTTATTGCCAGAGAGCTCAACAATCTTCGTTATCCAGATATCGGACCAATCAACGCGCGTTGCCAGGTCGGGTTTACAAGGAATTTTTTGAATTGTTTGAAGGCAAACTAGTGATAAGGTCAGCCATCACGTTCTTGCCAATTTCAAAGTTTTCGTGACTCTTTTCACGGGCAGGGGGGGGGCTTCTCTAATACGACTACTGCAAAGTCGATAGTGTAGTTCATGTAGCTATAGCTTGCCTTTCTGCAATAAATAGCAATTGAGAATTAGGCAAATGTTGATCATTCCTACTTCTATGAGCCTTTACTCAAAAAAATCAATATTTATCTGATCTTTAGCCGAATATCTAATCAACTACGCTCCTTCTCCCATTCAATACATATTTTTCATTATCACTTGTCCCCTACCCTCTCGAAACGTTAAGTATGAACGTTTAGACTTAAGAATATCCGAAATATTGCAAATGGTATGGTTTTAAAATGCTATAACGTTGTGAACGTTCTTATTTAAGAGCATTTGCTCACAATGGGATCGTTTGGGTCAATTGGCAACTCAAAGAAGAACGGCTCTGGAAGAAGCGGAACGAGTCGCCGAACGTCTCGATACGCTTTACCTTGATTTCGCCAAGAGGTTCGTTTTTTTTTCTCATCGACATATTTTGTCTTTCCAAAACTCCTTGAAAGGTAGAAATTGAATTATTTTTTCTTCCAGCATAAGTTTCTTGAGTACTGAACTTCAGACGCGCATTAGGAAGGCCCATAGTAGTCTAGGATTCATATCAATCACAGCAGCTAGATTTGGCCTCAGAATTTGATTGTGAATCTAAGAAGAAAGATTTTAACCTCGATTATATCCATCTGAAGAAATTCTATCTTTGAACGTTGCAGGGCTGCTCCGTTCAACAACTGGCTGGATGGTGCTCGTGAAGATCTGGCCGATTTGGTGATTGTCCACGAAATGAGAGAAATTCAAGAACTCTGCTCTGCTCACGACCAATTCAAGTCGACCCTGGGAGACGCCGATAAGGAGTTTGCCAGCATATCCGCTATCGAGCTGGTGAGATAGAATTCCGCGCCTTTTAATTTTGCTTTTCAGGAGATCGAGCGTCTCGTGGAAGCTCATGGTCTTGACCGTGAACTACTTCGCAATCCATACACGGACTTGGCCGCTGCTGATATTCGCCGTAAATGGGGTGAAGTACAGCAGGCGGTGCCGCGACGAGACGGACAACTTCAGAGCGAGTTGCGAAGGCAGCAAAGTGAGCCTTTTTAGCAAAGGTAGTAGACTTTTGGGAGCAAAACTAGGATTTTTTAGACAACGAACGTCTTCGTAGCGTTTTCGCCGACAAGGCAAACCAGGTTGGACCATGGCTCGAGAGGGAACTGGAGCAGGTAATATTTGCGAGAGTTATCGACCATTCTAAAGGAAATGTGCTACCTATTGCTTCATTGCTTTTATCGACGCTGAAGGGCTAAAGCTCCGTCGTGAGTCGGTCACCTTTCGGAAGGCGCCGTGCATTCAGCTTCCAACCAGAATTGGTCTTCTTTTTTATTCAGCCTACTTAGTGACTTGCGTGTGAAGGCCTATCTGATGCTCCTCTAGTGCGGACCAAAGACCGCAGGGAGACACCGCCACAATCACAACTACTTGTGGATCCTGTTCTGCAATGTGCTTTCTATTTGTAGAGTCAAAATCGCAGCATGGCGAGCCTCGCTGGTGTTTTACCATGATTTCAAACCTAGCATTGAAGAACTAACCTACCGGAGTTCTTATCCCGCATACGATATTGGTACCTCTTAGCCGACCTCGTATGAATGGAAGAGTTTTTTGGCCTGGTAGGCTTGATCCGGAGTTGAATTGCTGAATCTAAGACCGCGTTAATGTTATAGAAACCATTTTTTAGCGTTAATTGGAAAGCATTTCCATATTATCCTGAGAAAGACCTTTAATCATTTCGCTGAGTTGCTTGATCATTCCCTTTGTAAGCCTCTGGCGCGTGAGAAAAATATCAAACTAAACATCACCTCGTGCTTCATGCTGAGTGTGCTCGTCAGTGCTTGCTTGGTTCAAAGACCGCGAGGAAATCTTGCCACACCCGTAGCCTCTTGTAAATGTTCAGCTCTGAAGGATGCGTTCTGTTTGTCAAGTCCGAACTGCACAGGGACAAACTTACCTTCAAATCTCGGTAGCAGGATCGATCACTGTGATTTCTAAAAAGTTTGTCCCACATATTCTACTTCATCCAGAGCCGTGCTGGTATACGAAGTTTGCATGGCCCAAGCAATGAATCACTGAGCTCATACGGACGAAGACATCAGTTTT